GCCCGCCCCCGCTTCCCCCATCCTCCTCCCGGCCGGCCCCGCTTCCCCCAACCTGAGATCAAGCGTGTCCGGTATTTATTTTTTTTAAATCATCTGGTAACCGTAGCGGGGGCGCACATTTAGCCTTCTCCGCTCTGCCCCCACACTGCCTCACCGGCCACACCCAGATCCCTGAGCAGCCACGGGCTGCCCACCACCGCTGGAAAGACGCCTCGCATGGCGTGGGAAGCAGGAAGTTTTGGAGCCTTAGGCATGAGTTTCACGCTGGGTAAGTTGCAGGGGCATCGCCTTGTTGCCTGAGGCAGGGGAGTGCGCACATTTAGCCTTCTCCGCTCTGCCCCCACACTGCCTCACCGGCCACACCCAGATCCCTGAGCAGCCACGGGCTGCCCACCACCGCTGGAAAGACGCCTCGCATGGCGTGGGAAGCAGGAAGTTTTGGAGCCTTAGGCATGAGTTTCACGCTGGGTAAGTTGCAGGGGCATCGCCTTGTTGCCTGAGGCAGGGGAGTTTAACCGTGTGACCTCCGTTCATGAGAACAAGGCTCCAGCGAGAAACCCTCCCTCTGCTCCAGCGAGGAGCTAGCCACGAGGCTTCGTGACCTCTCGTGACTCCTTGCCCGTGGTCTCTAACCTCGTTAATATCCGAGCAGTGGGTTCCGTTGCCTGTGAAGCCCGGGGGGCAGGCTCCGCAGTGGACGCCGGAGCTTGTCGCCATGCAGGTCACTCCCGGGAAACAAGGGTTTGGCGAACAGCTGGGAAGTGGTGTTACGCTGGTCGGCGCCACCCAGGGCCTTCGTGACCTCTCGTGACTCCTTGCCCGTGGTCTCTAACCTCGTTAATATCCGAGCAGTGGGTTCCGTTGCCTGTGAAGCCCGGGGGGCAGGCTCCGCAGTGGACGCCGGAGCTTGTCGCCATGCAGGTCACTCCCGGGAAACAAGGGTTTGGCGAACAGCTGGGAAGTGGTGTTACGCTGGTCGGCGCCACCCAGGGCTTTATGCCTGGGGAACAGAAAATCGGTTAGGAAGAGAGCTGCAGCCAGGCCCTATCCTAGGTTACGCGTACACAGTGTCTTCTAGAGCTGACTCGCCTAGCGGTTGACAAATGGTGAATGACTTCACGCTACCCTGAGCCGTAAAACAATCAGGTTCCTACTTTGCAGCTGGGTAAACTGAGGCACAAGGACTATACTTGTTCTCAGACGCCGTGCCCGAGTGGGAAATGCAACCTGGCTCCCCATCTCGTACATGAATCTCCTCCCTATCCTTCTCCAAAGGCTGCTCACTTAGCAGTCGCAACCATCACCCACACCCCCGGGCTACCGGACGCTCTAGAACCAGTCCAGGAAGGGAGTTGTTCCTAAGACTCCCAGCTGGGCTTCTACTCCCGGGCTACTCAACTTTGGAAGCCCCGGGGGCCACAACGATATTCCCAGCACGTGCCGAGGGCCGCAACTTAAGCGTGGTTGCATAGATATGCAAATAGATGCAAATAGCTTTTCACACTGACAAGCACGAATACAAAGATTAAGCCGTGGCACCAGACCCAAATGTGGCCGAAGTGAGCCAGTCAGCACCTCTCAGGCTCTGCCCACACGGCTAAGCAGCCTGCACTTCCCACAATGCCCCGGCGCTCCCGGCACCTCCTCCCTGGGGGCTAGAAACGCCGATACCCTGCACCCGTCTGTTCCAGCCAGCCCGTCCGCTTGCGTCTTTGAAAGCTCATCCCGCCTGGGAGATGCCTTGCCGTTGTGGAGTGTGTTCCTAGTGGAGCCATGTTCAAAGGATACTGTGTGTTAAGCCCTGTGTAAACCCAAACCACCGCAGGCCGCGTGCGGTCCATGGGCCACGTGTTGAATAACCCTGCTCTACACATTCATCTATTTCAGAAGCGCCACGGGAGGACTGTTACCCATTCTGCCTTGAAGGTAAGGCCTAAGCCGCAGCGAGGCAATAACGTACTTTCTTTCAAGGCACTGGCAGCTCGAAGGATGGCCCGAGGCGTGCCAAGCAATCCATCTTTCTCCCGTCTCTTTGTAAACCAGAATAAGAAGCGGGAACGACAGAGATCAAGCGAGAGGAAGAAAGTTCAAGACAGTTTTACGAGCAACTTATTAAAGCAACTGCAGCGGAATGTGGCAACAGTCACTGCTCTGTTTTTGTCAGATGCCTGAGCAAATACCGGAGCCCGTCTCCGAACGGGGCTCGCCTAAAACCAAAAGCGCTGGGAAGTAAATCTCAGTTCCGAGAGTCCGTGAGTGAGGAGTAGATGGCAATCGAGGTGCATAATGCCGGGATTGTTTCTCTGTTTGGCTTGGGCAGCGGGGGCTTGGAAGGAACCGCTCGGAGCAACGTTCCATGTTGTTCACAACTCCAGAGCCGCCAACTCTCACTGCCGCCCGGTGCTGGATTCTAACGTGGCCGAGGGGGGGGTTATGAAGTGACGTGTGTCTGTGTGCACCGGGCTGTGCAGCGTGGCACGTCGCAGGGCGGGTGGGAAATGGCGCGGAGAACCAGGGACGCGTGCAAAGCGCTGGCGGGCTTGGACAGGTGTGAGCGAAGGCTGTTTCTGCCGCAGCGGGAGATCAAGAGGACTTCTCAGATGCCGGGCTCGCCCCTGCGGGGGTTGAACGGAAGGTCTGATTTTTCAGACGATTGCAAAAGGCCTGGCGGACGCTCTGAGCGCAGGCTAAGAGCGGTGGTTTGGCTCAGACATGTCCCGAAGCAACTTACGCTCTTCTAAAATGCAATCAGCCGCGCAGCATTTTACACTGGGGTAATGAGGGTGGTGCCAAGGCCAGGTCTGTGTCTGTCCCTTGTACGTGACGGGGCCCCCGCACTGCCTCCTTGCTCTGCCTATGATTGCTAATGGGTGACTCTAACCTGAGCCCTGGGAGCCAGGTTCTAAGCCCAGTGCTGACAGAGTCCCTGGAGGCAAGTTGCTCTTCTGCTGACTTTACCCAGCTGTGAAACGAACAGAAGAGTGGCCAGACTGGGTCAGACCAAAGGCCCATCCAGCCCAGTGTCCTGTCTGCCGACAGTGGCCAATGCCAGGGGCCCCAGAGGGAGTGAATCAAACTGGTAGTGATCAAGCGATCTCTTTCCTGCCATCCATCTCCACCCTCTGACAAACAGAGGCTGGGGACCCCATTCCTTACCCATCCTGGCTAATAGCCATTAATGGACTTAACCTCCATGAATTTATCTAGTTCTCTTTTAAACCCTGTTATAGTCGTCACAACCTCCTCAGGCAAGGAGTTCCACAGGTTGTCTATGCACTGTGTGAATTTCCTTTGGTTTTAAACCTGCTGCCTGTTAATTTCATTCGGAGGCCCCTAGTTCTTATATGATGAGAACAAGTCAATAACTTTTCCTTATTCACTTTCCCACACCGCTCATGATTTGATAAGACCTCTATCCTATCACCCCTTAGTCTCCTCTTATCCAAGAGTCCCAGTCTCTTTAATCTCTCCTCATATGGGACCCGTTCCAAACCCCTCATCAATTTAGTTGCCCTTCTCTGAACCTTTTATAATACCAGGATATCTTTTTTGAGATGACTCAGACATGTTTCGAAACGGGGTCCTGAGGGTTAGTGAACCGATCGAGCGCTTTGAAGCGGGGCAGTATCCCGTCGGAGGAGCTGATGGTGCTACTAGTGAATGGGAAGAAGTCATAAGGGGATAGTCTGTCGTTCTTCGCGACACACGTCTGAGACATTAAACAGCAACTCACCGCAGGCATCACACTCCATGACTGTGTTTTTCAGGAATACGATCTCCTTAATCTGGAAAGGAAACAGATGCCGCTAGTGAGCCTGCCGGCAGGTTCCCCCTTCCATGCCGGCCTGGCGTGCGGAGGATTTTCAGCACGAGAGAATCGCACGCCTTTGGTGTTGCACGTTTGTTCACAAGAGGCCTGTTGTGCACCAAAACCTGAGTGGTGGGACGTTGTGTAGACTGAGGCTAAGGCTACAGTGCTTTACCGTGCGGGAACTTTCTGGCTCGGGGTGTGTGAAAAAACACCTTCCCCAGAGTGTAGCAAGTTACGGTGCTGTAAAGCGCCCATGTAAACCAGCCGGGTTTCCAGCACTGTTAGCTACTCCCCTCCTGGAGGCGGTTTACATGGGAGAGCAGCCACGCCAGCGCTTTGAGCTAAGTGTCGACAAAACCGGAGCCCGCTTTACGTCCCTCCCCTCACCGGGCAGGCCAGCCTGGCTACCTAGCTGAGCTTCCAACGTGCTGGGGCAGATCCTCTACCTCTGAGCTGAAGGGGCTGTCCCCCCGCCAGAGTGAAAGGGAAAGTCAGAGCCAGTAGAGGATCAATTAGTGTTGACTCCTGGTTTCAGCCAGGTGGGAAATAGAGGGAGATCAGAAGGCCTGTGGGTGTCTCACCAGCTCAGAGACCAGTGCTCGGTCCTGACCTCCCCTTCCAAAAGACCCTGGGGTCAGGGAGCCCCCCAAGTACCTCTTTGCAACCTGCCTGGCTTTCTGTGAACGCCACGCAGCTGGTGAACTGGTCACTGGCCTGCACCTTTAATCTAAGGGAGGGAGAATCAACAGGGTTGTTAAAATTCCCTCCCAGGCTACATCTACACTGGCATGATCTTGTGCAAAAACTCTTTAGCGCAAGAGTTCTTGTGTTAAAGTAGTTGTGCAAGAGAGCGTCTGCACTGGCATGTGCTTTTGTGCAATTGCGTCCTTGCCTGCGTAGACACACTTGCGCAAGAAAGCTCCGATGGCCATTTGAACCACAGGGCTTTCTTGCGCAAGAAATTCATGTTGCCTGTCAACACTGGCCTCTTGTGCTAGAACAGTTGTGCAAGAGGGCTTATTCCTGAGCGGGAGCATCAGAGTTCTTGTGCAAGAAGCCCTGATTTCACACATTAGAACGTCAGTGTTCTTGCACAAGAACTCACGGCCAGTGTAGACACAGCCACTGAGTCCTGCTTCCAACACCTGATCGTCTGCCGTGTTGGGGGTGGCGACAGGCTGTCCCTTCAGAGGAGTAAAGGGTATCAGCTTGGCACAGACCCGACTGTGAGCGTCGGCTTCGGGGTGTCTGTAGAACTGAGCCTGCCAGCTCTCTCCGTGACCCCGGCTCTCCTAAAGCTACAACCCAGCCACAGCTCCTGGGAACAGCCCCGAGAAAGTGAAGAGCAAGGGTTAGCTCCCCCTTCCCCCCCTTATTCCGGCCCTGCGCCTTCGCTCTCCACGAGATGCACAAGTCTTTCTCTAGACATCATTTAAGGATGAGCCTGGCCGAGAGGGGAACAGTCAAAGCAGGGCGGGAGGAGAACAGATCCAAACAGCCAAGGGGCGACGGCTGGAAGGGAATGTTGGAAAAGCACCGCCCCAGGCTACCAGGAGCCAGGTCTACCCTGGTTCCAAGCAGACGCTGGATATTTATGCAACAGCCTGAAATGTGAGAGTCACTCCGTGCTACAGATGGTTTTGCAGATTAGAGGCTGCCCACTTGGCGCTGGCACAGGGACCTGGCTGCCTTTCCAGGGAGCTGGCCGGCCGCGGCAGCTGCCTTCCACAAACAGAGCGGGGCGAGGGAGAAAGGACCCTTTCTACGGCGTTAAAAGGGAGCTGACCGAAGTGCCGCCGGCGCGGTAAAACGGGCCGCGATCTAAACTCGCCTCAAGCGCCAGACGCCCTCGGATGCCGCGGGAGCCTGCGAGGGGTAGAATTAAAGCAACAGGAGGAAATGGAGCCAGTCAGTATAAGGCTTGTTTAGATCCCACAGGACTTCTGGTTCCTGGACCCTTCTGGGTGGCCGAATGGGCTGCTATCTTCCCGCCTGGCCTCTGCCTGTTGACCTCAGAAACCGACAAAACCGAGGAAAAAATGACTCTGGCTGGCCCTGCCCCATGTGACTCCTGTGCGTCCGTCTGGCTAGTCACGTACCAAATCAGCCTTCATGTATGTCAGTTGTGAGTAGCTGAAGGCCCAAGCAGCAGCGTTTGCATGGAAATTTGAATCCACATTAGCCCAGAATTCAGGGATGCTCAGAGCAAGCGGGGGAGAGGGGGGGTTAGATACACTGGAGGGCAGGGAGAGGGTCCAGAGTGACCCAGACAGATTAGAGGACTGGGCCAAAAGAAATCTGATGAGGTTCAACAAGGATAAATGTGGAGTCCTGCCCTTGGGATGGAAGAATCCCAAGTATTGTTACAGGCTGGGGACCGACTGGCTAAGCAGCAGTTCAGCAGAAAGGGACCCGGGGATTCCAGTGGATGAGAAGCTGCATATGAGTCAACAGGGCGCCCTTGTAGCCATGGGGGGGCATTTCCAGCAGATCTAGGGAAGGGATTATTCCCCTTTATTGGTGAGGCCACATCTGGAGTACTGCGCCTAATTCAGGGGCCCCCGCTCAGAAAGGATGTGGACACACTGGAGAAAGTCCAGTGGAGGGCAACAAAAATGATTAGAGGGCCAGAGCACGTGACCTACAAGGAGAGGCTGAGGGATTTGGGCTTATTTATTCTACAGTAGAGATGAGTGAGGGGGGATTTGAGAGCAGCCTGAAGGGGGGTTCTAAAGAGGACAGAGAGAGGCTGTTCCCCGTGGTGACATATGACAGAACGAGGTACAGGGATCTCAAGTTGTAATGGGGGAGGTCTAGGTTGGATATTAGGAAAAACTATTTCCCTAGGAGGGTGGGGAAGCACTGGGATGGGTTCCCTAGGAAGGTGGTGAAAGAAAGGTTTTAAGTCTCAGCTGGGATGATTTAGTTGGGATTGATCCTGCTTTCAGCAGGGGGTTGGACTCAATGGCCTCCTGAGGTCTCTTCCGAGTCTATGATTTGAAGAACATTTATCTCTACCCCGGCTTGACAAAGCCCTGGCCGGGTTGATTTAGTTGGGATTGGTCCTGCCTAGAGCAGGGGGCTGGACTTGACCTTCTGAGGTCTCTTCCAGCTCTATGATTCTATCACCTGAGGCTCTTCCCACGGGATGAGCGTGTCCATTTTAATCCCCCTATTCAACAGGCCTGAGTGCAAGGCAGCGGCCTCGTGGGTCCCTCTGGCAGCGGGCGAGAGGCAACCAGGCCGTGTTCTCACGTACCTGCTGCTTCAGCAAATCGGTGACTTCCTTCAGTGCCAGGTTGGTTTCTCTCATCTCCGCAAGCATCTGGCGCTCCACATCCCTGCCTAGAGAAAACAGGAGCGTCAGGGGCGGAGCCTGACAAACGGTCTGCTCGCCTCGGTGTTGTACTGCCCGGTTCCGCCTCTCCAGATCGTCACAACCTCTAGCAGCGGCTCCCCTCCCCAGCGTGTGGCGAGGAGGCAGCTGTTGGGAGGAACGAGGAGTTGCATGCTCCAGGAGGAAGGTGACAGGGGACTCCAGCGGCCCTGAGTCAGACTAGAGTGCCAGAGCTTCCTCGCCAATCCCCCCTCAAGAGGGAGGCCTTGGTAATGTGGCAGGGAGGCAGGCTGGCGTGGTAAGTTGGTGCTGGTTGCATCCAGGAGGGGGCTGCTGCTGACAGGGCAGTAGGACAGAAGTCAGTGTATAGCGCAGGATGAGGGGCAGCCCCAGACCTCAGCCGGCCCGAAGGCCGTGAATGGGCACCGACCGAGCTGGAGGTTTGCAGGTCGCTCTGATCAAGTTTTAAAAGGTCCCCCTACTCCATTTGTTTGCTGCTCAGCATCCCACCATTCATATTCAGATTGGCAACTTCAAGCATTCAAAAGTCATAAACCAGGCCTCAAAAAAATAAAGAAATTGGTTTAAAAAAATCTCAATTTTCAGCTCATTTTAGCTCATTTGGTTTCTGAGTCTTTAGGGTGCACTTGGTTCACCTTTTAAAGCCTTTCCCTGAACCCAGGAGGACAAAAAACTTGCTCCTTATTGTAAATAACAGCTTATGTGGAGGTGGGGAATCTCAGGCCCAGATGCGCCCCCCCCCCAGCTTGCCTGGATCCAGCCCTCGAGGCTCAGGACTCTCACCCCAACATTGGGGAACCCCCTCGGCCGCTCCCTCACAGAATCTACAACCCTGGGCCTGCCTAGACACTGGTGTCTTTCTGCTTCTCAGTCGGAGGCCATATCAGTGACCCAGATACGGTTCCCTCACTCCTGCCCTATAGCATGCTTAGGTCTAGGAACTAACCTCCAAACATGAAGTCAAATACCAAATGAAGCCCCCTGATCCCCCTTTATCCAGAGCATGCAGTCAGACGTTTTTCAACCTCACAAACATTTTCCTTTACAAAGATAGCTACCCCAATTATCACCCCTATGTCATTACCTCAGAGAAACTAACCTTCCCCCTTCACCCCCACTCTGTTCTAAAATTTGATTTGTCAATTTCACATGCGTTCATTTTTTTGATTGTATCATGTTGGTACATATGGTTGTGCTGATTTTCTTCCACATATTGATCTGAGGAAGTGGGTCTGGCCCAGGAAAGCTCATCCCCTAATAAACCATCTTGTTAGTCTTTAAAGTGCTACGTAGTCTTGTCTTTTGTTTCAGCTACACCAGACTAACACGGCTACATCTCTATCACTATTTTCCATGCGAGTTCTAGCTGCTGGGTAAGGTCAGATCCTCCGATTGTATCCAAAAGGGTTTGTCTCTCCCTAAGAGCAGGATGCTGTTTTTAAGTGAACACACAAGATTGCCTGGGGCAATCACATCTGGGCAGCTAGGTCTCTGTGTGGGTCTTTAATTATTTTACTCTCACTCTAAGCAATCCCAGCTAATCCCTGTGTGTGGCAGGCCCTACTCTTCCCCTCCCTCATGCTTTCCATCAACACATTGTGCCCTGTGGAACTTGGTCTTTTAGGTCTCAGGTTGCTGGATGTGGGAGTCAGGGATTCATCAGGCGCTGAGCAAAACCCCCGACATACTGCCAGGGAACAAGGAGGATCCGGGTGCCACCTGAATCACTAACAATTTTATTCTGGCACAAACCTTCGTGAGTTGCAACTCCTTTCGTCGGAGGCAGGAAGTGACAAAAACGAGGCACTGCTCTGAAAACAAGGGGTTGACTTCCTAGCCTAGGGGGCTAGTTTTCCTCTGAGCTGTGTGTGAATTCAGGGCGCACAGAAATCCCAGGTAGCGGCCAGAGCACACCCTACAGCCAAAAGGGCTTTAATTTCATCATTTGCAAAACAAAGACGCTTTGCCAAGGGCACGTTGTTCTGTTTGCAAAATAACGAAAAATGGGGGCATTTCTGCTACTAACAAAGACGCTTTGCCAAGGGCACGTTCTGTTTGCAAAATAACAAAAAATGGGGGCCTTTCTGCTGCCGTAGGAAGAGGCTAATTTGTCAAAACATCGATAAACAGAGGGGAAAAACAGCCTAGAACTCGAATGTTTAAACCTGTTGGCTCAAGATTTTGTATGACATTCCAACGGGTAAAAATCGACCAGGTATCACCAGGTGTTCTTTACCTGGCAGCTGCTTTCTCGCTTCCCGCAGTGTTTGCAGAGAAGGGCCGCGCACATAGAAGTGATTAAAACCCACTTACCTCCTGTACTCGTCATCTGACTTGATGCAAAGGGACACCAGAGGCTTAGGAGGAAAACGAAGGTTCGAGCCGAAACCATGCTTGGATTCAAGAGCAGTGAGGGTGTCTGGGCTTCTCTTGCAAAGAACTTGTTAACCTGCAGCTTTGCCTCTGCTCCCCATTAGCGTCTGTGGCTTGCTCTTTCTGAAGTTGCATTCCTTCCTCTGAAGTTCTTATTCTCTGATGCTGGACGAGGGGTGGACGTCATTTCTGGCTCCCAGTCCACAGGGAAGGGTTACAAAAGTAAACAATATGAAAAAGTCATCAGAAGAGCAACGTACAGTGTTTTATTTTAAAAAAAACCCACATCAGCTTGCACCACAAAAAGGTCAGAAAATTCCAGAGGTAAATGGATTCCCTTTTGGTTCAATGACTGTTTTGTTTCGGGAGGTGGAATTTATCACCCTGGCTCCAGTGGCATTTTCCTCCTTGCATCGCTCATAAGAGCCCATCAGCTGACGGTGAACGTGGGCTTAACGAGAGTTTCATCCAGGGCTCTGGGACTTCCAGAAGACAGTGCTGCCACTGGGGCTGAGCAGCAGAAATATCCCATCCTCTGACAGCCAAGAGGACAAAACTGTCCCTTGCTTCTCCTGTTCAGTCACTTTCCATGGGGCTAGAATAGAGAACATGTGGGACCCCCACTAGCAAATCTAGGACATCCCTCCCCTCATTTCCTCCTTTACCTCCTATCCCATCGGACACACGAGCCTAATACTAAGGAAGCAATCAGCGGAGGCTGGGAACTTTTAATTCACCCAGCGTGGAACCTTCCGCGTCTCAGCGAGGTAGAGAATTTAGCAGAACGCACCTGGTCAGGGCTGGTCCCCACTTTGACACTCGGCATGCAGAGGTGGGGTCCCACCATGACTTTAAGTGCCTTTGCCTCTAAGTCAGGGCTACTCAACTTTGGAAACCCCGGAAGCCACAGTGATGCTCACAGGACGTGCCGAGGGCCGCAACTTAAGTGTGGTTGCATATACGTGCAAATATATGCAAATGAATTATTTCACGCAATGCCCAGGCGCTCCCGGCACCTCCTTCCTGGGGGCTAGAAATGCCGACACCCTGTATCTGTCTGTTCCAGCCAGCCCGTCCGCTTGTGTCTTTCAATGCTCACCCCATCTGGGAGACACTTTGCCATTGTAGAGCGTGTTCCCAGTGGAGGCCGTGTTCAAAGGATCCCACCCGGGGGCGGCGTGTTGAGTAGTCCTGCTCTAGGCTCCGCTTCTAAAAACTCCCAGGGTGGGTCTAGACTACAGGATTTTTTCGAAAAAAAAGTGGCCTTTTTTCGAAAAAACTTCCCCTGCCTCTAGACTGCCGCCGCGTTCTGTCGACAGTAAATCGAAAGAATGCGGCAGGTTTATCGGCCACGGTAAACCTCATTTCACAAGGAAGAATGCCTTTTTTTCAAAAGTGCTCTTTTGAAAAAAGGTGTTCTTGAACGCAAACAGGGCTTTTTCAGAAGAGAGCATCCAGACTTCCTGGGTGCTCGCTTTCGAAAAAGCGTCTCGCTGTTTCGAAAGAAGTGGTTGCAGTCTAGACGCTGTCTTTCGAAAGAGGCTTGTGGTCTTAGATGTAGTCCTAGACTCTCAGATGCCCAGGCTCTGAGAACAACGAAAACAAAAGCTGCCACCATCAAGTGATTTACCCTGAAAAAAATTTTTTTTTTGGGGGGGGGGAGGGGAACACTTGACCAAGCTCTTTTGCCCCAAAAAACCTTGAAAAAAAAGAAAAGAGAAAAACAAGTTGCTGTCTCTGGTAGTTAAGCACCTAGACACAGGCCGGCAAACACACACACACACAGACCCAGGGCCGCATTATGACTTTCATGGGCTCTAGGCACTTTTGCCTTCGTGACTCCTTCCTCCATAAAAAAAAATATTAAAAATTATTTTTGATATAACTTTAAATACTTCAACATTTTATATTTTTTCTGTTGTAGGCAAAATGTAATAGATTGTCGTGGGCCCTAAAAGTTTCATTTTTCTCTGATGTGAGGAAAAAAATTAAAACATTTTCTTCCACCCTAAAAGTTCATTTTCTTTGCTTCTGATTTTAAAAGAAATTCAAACATTTTTGTGGGCCCCTAAAAGTATCGTGGGCCCTAGGCACTGTGCCTAATGGATAAGTTGGCCCAGCACAGACCTGCGTTACTTTCCAGGACACAACAGTCAAATCGTCACCTTACGACAGTGATGTCGACTAACAAAACGAACGAGATACATGCTATAAAGCGTACTGGGTTGCTAGATGTTACAGAGCAGCCAGGAAAGAACAAATCAAAACACAAAGAACCATTGTCTTTTGGGCAGTGATTTAAATGGTGACTGGGAGAGGGAGGCCTAGATTCCCACAGAGAAGTTTAAACCAAACGACCCAAAATAAAGAAAAATTCCCTGATTGGCACTCGATCAGGGCTGGCCTTACCATGAGGTGAACTGAGGCGGCCGCTTCAGGCGCCAGACTGGAAGGAGACGCCACTAGGACCCAGAGAACTGAGACCTTTCAAAGTTTTGGCCCAAGCGAGGCGAATGGGGGGTCATTTGAGCTCCCCCCCTCAGGTGCCCAAATATTGTGGGCCGGCCCTGCACTAGATACACATTTCCCCTTCCTTGGTCAGTCTACTCCCATGCCGCGAATTCCTGGGAGGCATGGTAGTCCTGGCTGGGTTTAAACCATCCTGTGTCTCTCCCCTCCTGGCTTAACTCTCCCGACAGAGCAAACGGGCGCAGGAATATGTTTACAATTTAAATTTCAGCACTGTAGCCCATTGGTGGTGCTGGTTCCCTGTCAACAACACCCCTAGCTACCTGAGGTTAGCCCTGTAGGAGGCCGGCACTCCTATCCCTCACACCCACTGAGATTGGTTCGTTTTAACTCCCCCCCGCGGAGGAGCGAGAGAAGAGATTGTTCTGTGGACTCAGCATGGTGCTGGGATGCCACAGACGTAGAGCCGGAAAGGCTGGGGTGTCGGGCTGTGAGGGGCAGGAGAGCGTTTTCACTGCACGCCAACCCCCTGCCGGCAGGGTGGGGTAGAGGATCTAGATTTGGAGGCTGGAAGGAAAGGGCCGTCTCCATCGCCCATTCAGTATCCTCAGCCTCAGATTAACACCCTATGACCACCCTACACTGCCTGCTGGGCGTTTTAGAAACAGGCATTTTCCCCACTCCATGTTTGTTCTGTGCACGTCAGATGTCGGCAACTTTCAGTCCCCCCACCTGGTCTAGGTTGGAATTGGAAATCCGGGCGGGGGGGGGAACCGCTAAGCTATCCCACCACCAATCCCTTGTAGGCCTCATTCCTAGTGCATATTGGTGTATGCCAAACTGTTACTAATTCGACAGAACAAAGCCAAAGCCCTCCCCATCCACCCACACCCATGTATTTTTAACTATATACATAGAATACAGACTTCTTCAGCAGGCTACAGAAGATGGGTCTCTCTCCAATGCCGCAAGCATGGAACAGTCCCCTGAAATGCATTTTCTTAGGTGCCATGTTTGAAATCTGGGCCTGCTTCACTTTTCGGGGTATGTCTACACTCTAGAGCTTTTCCGGGAAAATGGCTGTTTTTCCGGAAATACGACACTTATGTCCGGAGAAAATGGCTGTTTTTCCGGAAATACGACACTTACGTCCGTACTGCGATTGCATTCTTTCGACAGAAAGTTGAGACTGCAGGGGACTGCAATTGCATTCTTTCGACAGAAAGTTGAGAATGCAGGGGGTTTTCTGACCGTAGTAAACCTCTTTCTACAAGGAAGAAGCCTTTTTCCAAAAGACCTCTTTCGGAAAAAGGCACGTAGGGATGGGAAAGAGGAGGGGGTTTCGAAAGAAGAAGTCTCCAGAAAAAAGCACAGGTGCCCTAGTGGCCACTCCATCCATTGTAAACCCAGCTTAAATGCGAGATAGCGTCCAATCAATGTGAATGCTCTCTTTCGAGAAAGCAGATTGCTTTTTCGATGCGCTTTTGCTGTGTGGACGCTCTCTTACGAAAGAAGTTTCTCTGGAAGATCTCGTCCGGAAAAGCTTCTTCTGAAAGAAGCCTTCAGTCTAGACGTAGCCTCAGTGACATCACCCTAAATCGCAGGTCACTCCAGCGAAGTCCATGGTGAATACTGCAACATACGAGGATCTTGTCAGGTCCCAATTGATACAAACGCAGCAGATCTGTCCCAGAATGCAGGGAAACTCAGTGATGAGATGAGAATCTCTATCGCTATTGACAGTGGGGGAATCAATCCAATGCAGAATAACGACACTGGAAGGGTTTCAAAACTGAAGCGCCAAACCCTATTAAATATAGATAAAACCGTGTTACTGTTCTAGGGCCAGCTCTGTGTAACTTAGGGCCATAGACTTTTGCTGGTTTTAGCCTTTCCTTTGGACGTTATAGGTCACTGTTCTTCCAGAAGAGCTTTTGGGTGTCATTTCCACACTCATTCATACTAGGAGTATACACACACAGAGGAAAACAGTGAACGGTTTCTACATGTCTGTCTGGAGCTTAGCAAGCACACAGTGTCTAGGGCCAGCTCTGTGTAACTTAGGGCCATAGACTTTTGCTGGTTTTAGCCTTTCCTTTGGACGTTATAGGTCACTGTTCTTCCAGAAGAGCTTTTGGGTGTCATTTCCACACTCATTCATACTAGGAGTATACACACACAGAGGAAAACAGTGAACGGTTTCTACATGTCTGTCTGGAGCTTAGCAAGCACACAGTGTCCTCACTGGGTGACATCGACTCATCCTACACCTTCCTTTATTTGGGTGAGAGAACTAGGAATCGCTCTACAGCCAACATTCTTAAATACACAGCAGCAGGCAGAGTATACGGCTACCTCTTTTCTTACAAAGTCCATATTAAAAGTCTTGCCATACCTTAAACTTGTTTGGATCTAATGGGAAAAGGTCTTCCAGATTTCCAGGGTCTTATTTTTAATACGGTGGAGACAATAACGAACAATAGCCAATATTTATGTTGTCTGTAGCGTAACAGTATTTTGTTCTTTGTGTAGTGGCAGAATTCCATGCACACCTTGTCCTGGAGTTTTGCTGACCTCACCAGGGAGGTTGGGGCACCCACAAAGAACGAAAAACAAAACAAGAAAAAGCTTGTGTCGGTTTCAAGCTCAGTTAAAAACACGGAGGATGGAAAATATTCAGCGAAGGAAAAATAAGTGGTTTTCAAGACACTGAGGGTGGAGTTATGAACAAAGAAGCGTAAACCATTTGTAACCTTTAGACTAGTATTCTTACATAGTACTTGATATAATGCCCTTTATAAACAGGTGATCATATTAAGGGCAGT